GTATACGGACTTCACTGTATACACTCATCGTCGCTGGGTATATCAGATTATTGGTCATCCATCTGCAAACAGACGTACGCTCGTTGAGTCATCCGGCATGCGCAAATCGAAGTTATATCACTATCATTCAAGTTTTAGCGGCAAATGGACGAGAATATCTACGAAGTATGAAATACGTCTAATAGGTGCGTAGAATTATCGGCACGGGTATTACGTATCTTGAAAACTGACATTAATTCGATTTTTTTGACAATGTATTGGCTTTTTGTGACATTATGTAGGTTTTTCTACAAGATGTTAACTTAGCACTAGCTGATGGACACTTGTGAACTTTTATACAACTATTTTATACGGCATTATTTGCGCGGTAGTCAAAATAGTTGTGTTGTGGCATCCATGATAGCGTTTATACGACAAACCCGAGCAATGTTGTTTTGGTGTGCAAATTTACTACTTTAGATAACAAATGGCTCCCAACGGAAGCACTTATACAACTGTCGTTTAGTAACTATTAAAGGCTGTACATCTGCAACAATATTACAACTTTTATAGTACAACATTGCTGTGGTCGGAAATCATTTGTTGCTAAGGGCTTTATCAACTGTTCAAGCAGAAGATATAGATCTGTACAAATTCTTGGTAAATCATTCGACTCTGACCGTATTTCATTTCAGAGATTTGTCAAATTGTTGTATAACACCTGCAGTCAACACCAAAATATTCTAATAATCCAAAGACAACATGGACGATGCCAGGATTATATTGATTATTCATAATCAACCACCCGCCATATTGGACAAAAATATATTCCAATATTGAAATTTCAATAATTATGTTTCAGTTGGAAATTACAGATATAAAGTGATAAACATTAGTGTAATTGTGTATAAATATAGGATTTGTGGAAGATTTAACGCAGGTAAGTTTGGTTTTTCATCTTAAAAATTTAGACTTACTTTTTATCATTATTAAAATATGAGTCAAATACGAAGACCTTAGAAGTTGCGTAGCTACTTTGCACGATAATCACAATAAAATTTGCTGCGCAAGTAATTCAATAGCCCTATATCACAGTTTAGAAATTTATCATAAATGTATGTACCTGTGTATGAAATTCACAATAGCCAGAATGTATATAAACAAGATGACTGTAATGTGTTAGTTATATATTCTTCACTTCGCCTATACAATATATAAGAAATAGTTTGGTTGCAATAAAGTAGAATCGTGTAACAGAATAGTTGTACAGTTGACAAAAACTGAATTTTGCACTGACGCGAATGTTCTATAGCGGCTGCAAGAGGTTTACACTTTTGTTGTATAACTGTTACCTGCTGCCCTTATACAACCTCTTAAATGACTGAAGTGTCCTATTAGGTGTGCCCGCTCTGCTTGTATAGCTGTTGTAAGAGCGTTTCGCCAGTGTTCTTACAGCATATAATGATGCGTAAGGAATACTGTACAATCGTTGTTCAACTATAATAGAAGTCATAATTGTTAGTTAGGTTACGCATCCACTTTTTCTTATCCATTCTGGAAATTACGAGTACATTTGCAAATTTGCTGAATTTTGAAAATAAGAGAGGTAAAAATAATTATATTCACTTTACACTGTCGAATTTCAAGTCATATACGTGCTAACAGTAATTGCATACATCGCGGGCGCGGTGGTGATTTCTCGTAATTCTCCTCCAAGTTTTTGAAAACACAAAAGAACAACGTAAAAAATCGTAATTTATAACTTTGAACATAACCTGTCTTCAGAAACGACAACATACAAATAGCCCGTCGGGCGCAGCTATTCAGTCAAGATTTCCTCACACAGCAAATATCACTGATTTTACCAATACACATAATCATCCAGATGCGATCTTGCTATTCAACCAACTGTCCTCTCAGAGGCGAAAACACAGACTACTCGGCTTCACAATGGATGCTCACAACGTTCCTAGTGAGCAAATGTGGGATGACTACTACCCTAAAAACTACCTAGTGTACAAGATGACATTTTATAGGTTTCTTTTATGCTTTATGTTTTTACATAATACCAGGGCGGGGCTGTTAACGTTTAAATGGCCAGCACAAAAAGTGATATAAGCTACCCCACACCCTACAACGCCCAACAGCAAATTTGATCGAAGAGCGAAGTTTGAGCGATTTTTATATTTTGATTTTTGCCTGGCTACGACGTTATTGGAGCAGTTAAAAAAAAAAAGTTACCAGATCTTGTTTGTCCTTGGCATAATAGTAACAGTGCGTGAAAGTTTCCTGTAATAAATAAGGAAAGCAACAGTTGCGACCTGTCAAGTTGCCCTCACGTGCTAAACATGCAATGAATCACCACTAAAAAAATTTCTAGCCTAAACACAGCCGTTTCACGGAGGGTGCACGGTATTACGCTCACCAAGGAAGCCCAACTTAGCTTATTATTATTTGAGCTTCATCCTCATCAAAAACTGAGTCTGTTGCTACGTGATGGAGGTATATAAAAATTCAGCTACACCATCCTCTTTAGAGGGGCCTGAAAAAATGTCTCTTGATCTCTTGATAGTGCATACGGCTCAAAGTTTTCAGCAGCGTTATAAACAAGTATAATCCAACAAGCGGGGAGTGTGTTTATGAGTAAAGGTGGAAGATTACCTTCTCAACATTCATTACTGGGTGTGTCGTACAAGCTGCGCACCGCTTATCCCTCTTCTACTCTAACGAATGCCCTTAATTAAGGACCAACATCATCATTTCAGCGAATAAGCCTTCAGTTTGCCAAGAATTTCAATTAAATAGCTAAGGAGTAGTTCAACCTCAAATGCGTTGAGCGCTTGCATCGTTTTGCTTATTATATCCTTGTGTTGAGGTGGTTGGTTAAAACTTTGCTCTAAGTGTGTTAACAAAAGATTATGCGGTTGCGTTTTATCATGACTTTTGAAAATATTTTTTTTTCACAGCCCCCTTTCATAGTTTTCTTTAAATTAAGTGGAGAGGTAGAGAGAGAGAGTAACAAATAGGTTCGTTCTTTTTGTAGATTGTAGATGTTCGGTAAAATATTCCGGCTGTACCATTTAGTGTAACGAGTTTTACCATATGCAGGGTGATTCACAAGTCGTGACCAAAAATGAAACACCATACACAGGACTGTATTTTAAGGGGGGTCTTCTATGTAACATTTTTTCCTTGAGGGTTTCATTAAGGAGATACGGGGTGTTGAAGTTTAAAAATAAAAAACATTTTTTTCAATATCTTTAACACCTCAACTGGAATGAACTAAAACTGAACTGAACGTGCGATTTTTCGTAACAATAAAAATGAAACAAATTAGATCATTTATGAATAGCCGGGATACAATTAGTTTTAAAATAAAATAGAAGGCCTTGATACCAATGTGACGATACTTGGGAGATAGTTTGTCAGAGTTATGTGTATGTATACGCTTGTTATCGTTACTAGAATTTTTTTTTGTAAATGTCAAATTAAAAGTTTCTTTTTTTCATTGTTAAGTGTTGTGAAATAGAATTTAGCAATCATGAGTACGCCGCCGATATTATTTTTGTGTACGGGTTCTGTAATGGAAACGCTTTAACGGCTTCTCGGGAGGGTCAACGTAGATTTCCTAACAGACGCCAATCTACCCGAAACGTCTTCACGCATACTGTTCAAGAGGAACTGGAGGTTATTACTTTGGCGTTGGACGATCCTAGTTCAAGTTCTAGGCGGATTGCAGCCCAGTTACCATGTTCCCAAAGTCTTTCGTGGAAAATTTTAAATAGGGAAGTTTTACATCCGCCATCGGCAAAATGTGCAATATCTGCAACCCGGCGCCGAAGTGCAACGGCGAAATTTTTGTGAGTGGTTACTGCAAATGCATTATCAATATGTAGATTTTATTGGTTTCGTTTTGTGGTCAGATGAATCGCTTTCACGAGGAGTGGAACCTTTAATTCTCATAATGAACATATTTGGTGGTTAGAAAATCCCCATTCTGTAAGAATCCACTCGGTTCCACACAGATTTTCTGGAAATGTCTGGAGCGGTATTTTAAATGGCCAACTGGTTATTGACGTATTGCCACAACGTTTAAATGTAAACTCATACTTTGCTTTTCTAGAGAATTACATAGAAAATGTGTTACATGTTGTTGCGTTAGCAACGAGATCACGAATATGGTATCAGCACGACGGTGTCCCATAGCATGTTCGTCGTGACATAACCGCATGGTTGAATAATCATTTAGACCACGATGCGGACACGTACATTGGCCTGCAGGGTCCCCTGATTCGAACGCCCTGGATTTCTTTTGTGGGGTGCTTTTAAACAACTGAACAAATTAGTACCGTTGATCAGTTACAACTTGTAACTTGTAACATACAAGAAAGATTAGATAATGCGTTTCATCAAATTCAAGCCGCAACAAATTTTGTATCCGTCAGAATGGTCTTTTTGAACATTTATTGAAATAAAGCTTTGATTATCTAATTTGTTTTATTTTTATTTTTACAAAAACAATGCACTTTAGGAAAAAATACCCTGTATCTTCTTAATGAAGCCCTAGAGGAAAAAATGTTATATCGAAGACGCCCCTTAAAATGCGGTCCTGAGTATGATGTTTAATTTTCGCGCACGACTTGTGAATCACTCTGTATATAGTAGGCGTCGTGGCACGTTTCACTTTTTTTAAAAGCATCGTCGGACGTTCTAGCGGAAAAACTATTACCCCCTAGCGCGTACCACAAAGTCAAACTCCGAGCTTAATTTTTGCTAGTTTCGTATTTTTTTGCAATTACAATATTTAGGTTGTAATCCAGCCCTTGACCTAATGGCAAGAATGAAGAAGACCAGCATCAGAATTAAAATGTTTTGACCTATTATATAGTATGCCTTATTAATTAGTAGCCCTGAGATATCCAAGAAAACACTGGCGCCCACCACTAAACGTAAGATCAAATAAAACTTTCAAATATGCGTGTCACTATGTTTAACGTGTGTCTTTATAAAAACAACAAATTCCTCGGAGCGTTTATTCAGTAACCATACCTTTGGAGTATCATAAATACATTACTTGCCATACCCTTAACGGCCTCTTTGATTTCCTGGCATTGAGCCAGAATCCGGCATTTATGAGGTCTCTTTCCATTATTGTGCACTCGTACAATGTAAGGAAATAGAGGAGATCCAGGTTGAGTATCCAATAACTGCATATAGTCTATGATGCACCCAAGATTCATTCCAGATACTTCAATAATACTTCCGACCTGGAACATAAGCCTCTTCGCAGCGTGTCTACCTGCCATCGCTACCTTCCTAACCAGCTGGATATGGTCAACTTCGTCAACAGTATTGCCAAATGGGTAGAGGATCTTTGACGTATTTGGGCCTTCCTGGAGGCTGATGAACAGCTTTATGTGGTCTTTGTACTTCAGCAAAGTACTTTTCAATGCTTCTGTTTCCGGACTACGATACCTATTACTCGTTAAAATATCGTGGCTAGAGAACTTTAGCTACATAGTTAACTAATTATACATTGAACAGTAAGATCGACCGTCACAGGGACGGGTTGTTAAAAACCCATGCTGAGGAAACCATTTCAATTTTTAAAATGAGGTATCGGAGTCATTGTTGCAGCTAAATAGAGACAGCCTTGAAGCTGACTGCAGACTGGGCATAAAGATAGACGGTATTATTGAGCATGTTGTGTCCAGATGGTCAGGCAATTGGTCAATTAACATAGATACAATACACTTAAAGAGGTATTACTCCAAGTAGAAGTCCTTTAAGGTATTTCTCCAAATAAGCTGATGTACCTCCTTAGGAGGTTCGAGCTACTGGGAGAAATGAAAATAAATGTAATGAACGATATGCCAGTGAGACGCAGTGGAGAATTGTCGTTGATCATCTGACAAAATACCCAACCTAACCTAAACCTAGTTTGGCTGAATAGGTTAAATCGCGGTAGTATTTCAAAACAAGAACAAGGTTGTTCTAAAAAGCGTTTCTCTATCCAAAAATAGATATGCCAAGGTTCTTTTGACAGAAGGGTTCTCACTTTTGACTTTAAAAGACTGCATCTAGGTTGATAGGACAGAAGTATTTCTGTAATGATTAGTTTGATATTAAGTATTAACTCGGTTTAGTGTTTGAGTGACATTGTAAAATAAATTGATTGACTCTAGATATACCTGTAATTCCTTCTCCACGTCGTGACGGCTTCCATAAACTGATTTTCTGGAATATTTTGCACATCCCCACAACCAAGGACTATTGGATAATTGAAAGTCAAATCAACAGACGAGAGACAATCCAAACTGTTTTGGTAGCCGTCTGGGTTGGAACATGGAACAATGTAGTAATCTGATAGTACGGTCAGGTCATTGCCTTTAGTAGCATATTCTATGAGGTATAATGCTGTAGATACTGCTGACCAGCTGTAACCACAAGATCCAGCTTCTGTAACATTGATATTTCTAAATTAAACCTCTAGCTACATCTTCGGGAGCAGAACTTAGCACAGGAAAGATTTAGGTACTGTGGGGTAATTAGGGTACACCTTTACACAATTAGCTCGATGCAGACATACAAAAAACAGCCATCTACCATTATCCTGCTCAGTGGAAAAAAGACCACATAGATGGCAAATCAAGATAGAAAATATGAGACTGGAACGAGCATAACGGTTGAGGGCGTGAAACATTGACTACCCGTACTTCAACAATAAAGTATTTACCTATGAATGTTTTATATGACTTTGGTCTGCGTAAACAGCCAGAATAACCCCTTATTTTGGCCATGAGAATTGGCCGTCCACAACATGATTTTCCTATGGTCTCTATCTCAATCTTCCCCTTGTATTCTTTCTGTAGTTTCTGTAAGAAGCTCTTAATTTCTCCATAGTTAAGCACTGTCTCGTGATACTTTTGATGCCTTCTAACAACATTTCTTACTCGCTGTACCTCTATTTTTGGCTTGTTGAGACCAACGCAAGATGCTGTTGTCTCGACGATCTTTCTGGGTGACCTCATCGAGAACTGATTACGAAAACTATAATTTTCATATATGTAGCTTACATTTGTGACATCTTGACCGGAATTTCTATCTCTGTCATCTTTAACTGTCAACCTAATTTTTTTCTTACAAGAAGGGGTATCGCATATCGCAAATATTCCATTTCTTATTTTAAAATGATAGATTAGGATGTAACTTTTACGAAAATATCATTTTTTCTTTAAGGTAACCTCTGCTTGCCATTTTATAGAACTTCAAAGTTGCATTTTTGGTGGTAATACTCTAGAATAGAATACTGTTTTATACGATGTTTTAATTATGTATATTTTGTGACATCAGCTTCACTTTAAATAATGCTTCAAGTACATACATACAAAAAGTAAATAGGTTATATATAATTATAATATAGGAAACACAATAATTGAATAATTTTTGTGAAGGGCATAGGTACGGCATTCTTCAAAAAAGTAGGGCACGAGGTAGATTCAGTACAGGAAACCTGCCGGCCATACCTCCAAATCGCATTTTCATGGCAATCCTGTGCCGATGGCACATTTTCGGGCTAGTATGTAAATAAGAAATTGACAAACCATATCAAGGTATATTACTATATAGGATTTGGTAACATAGCGACTAGATGGAGAAATTATAATAGTGATGGTGGTGTACTGATGGGAACATTTATCTGAAATGACTATTTAAGAGTGATCTATTTTCATCATTAAAATAATGGAAAAATCGATTATTGCGATGAACAGTGTCATAGTAATATACAGTGTATGTTATATTCATATAATTTTGAGCAACCTTGTGTGTAAAGAAGAAAAAAACAGCTTATAAAGCAGTATTCTATATCACAGTATTACCACGCAAAATGCAACCCTTAAGTTCTATAAAATAGCAAGCAGAGCGTTCCTTAAAGAAAAGAATGATATTTTCGTACAAGTTACATCATAATCTATCATTTTAGAATAAGAAATGAAATATTTGTGATATGCGCTAAAGTATAGCTCAGCTCAAGAGGTCGCTATTACAGGGTGGATTCATCTTGGCTAATGATTAATATGAAATTATGGATAATCCCTTAAACATTCAGTCCTTGGATCATTCCTTTATTCACTTTTTATACTTAGTGCCCCTGCCCTCTAGCAACTGTGAATACTAGTTCAACACTAACTACATTGCACTGGTGACGCATTCAAGTGATGATAGACGGTAGTGGATGAGCTACTCAACTGGTGACTGATCACAACTGTAGTTGTGTCTGTCAAGAAAGCCGCTCCGAATTTGTCGATTCGAAAATAAATACACACATAGAGGGCAGAGTGAGGTAGAGTTGACCGACAGCAGATGATGAGTCAGCAGCGCGACACGCGATAGTCGGGTCGATATAGTCATATATTTTTAATGCATTAGTTGCAAGTGTGGTAATAAACTAGTGTGAGAGTAATACATTTGGTTTTAAATGCCGTAAGGCATATGGCGCATTTGGACAACTGTGAAGCCAGCCAGCCACTATTGAGTAATATAGCTTATAGAGAATGCAGTGTCGTGCTGCGAGACAAACATATCATTCAACCACGTTTTTTCAACAGGATAGAGGACATTATTCCAGATGAATAAATAACACTCTCCTCCACACCTGACCCAGAAATCCTTTCTGTGAAAGCTCGGCGATAACAATGCACCTTATCATTGTTACCAGACAGTCTTTAGTCGGTCGAAACTATGTTGCAATAATATCAAACAAACTTACGAATTAAGCGCATTTTGGTGAGGCTGACGGTAGACAACCCTACTGTAGTCGATTTTACGATCACGTATCATTCAGAAAAACTAAGCTTCATTGTGAAGATAGGTATAGGTACAGATTCAAGCGACAGGATATAATGGGAGGGGGGAGGTAAGGTGTTTAATTTTTTTTGTTCGTTTTTTTATTTACTTTGTGTGGATATATAATATCTTGAGAATACTGGGTCAGAATTTCAAATCGACCGGAGCAAAATTTACGAATTTTTTTGTTTTTAAGTATCCGTTGCTTCAAACTAGCTTCTATACGTACTCGGGCAAAACATCGCGTGTTTAGTTACCACCAACTATTCTGTGGATGCCCAGCTTGGGGTTCCTCTATATGTCTCTAACTTTATCGTCATCTCTACCTCCTCTTTGTAGAACTACTCTTTGTTTAAAGTACACAGATCAGTTCACCACGCCATTCTACATGACATTTTGTCAGACTTTCTGAAGTCGGTGTTTGCTGTACCTCAAAATCCAGTACACCGATTCTTGTGAATTTGTTTATACCGGGTTCGGCACATAAATCACGCAGGCAACTACGTCGGTTTTTTCAATTTCATTTCAATTTTATAATCACATAGCACCTACTGTAAAAAAGAAAGTTAAATAAAATATGAGTGACTTTGAAGGTATGTTTGGTAGGCAACTAAATAATCGTATATAGTTAGTACGGAGTACAACCACAGAGTGGCGCTGATGCTGGATTTTCCCGTCGTTCGTTTTGACAGACCAATTTGTTTGACTTTGATGTTTTCGTAATTTTTTATTTGAAAGTTGAATTTTGTGTGGCGCCGGCGTTTTTATTAGCTTTGTGTCGGTGATACTGATATCTATTGAGCGTTAAACTGAATTTAAATTTACAAATCTGTCTAATGGTGACTCATCGAAAGCGGGGTTTGAAAAAGTGCGTGGTACCTGGTTGTACTGATACAATCAGTAAAAGGCATACATTTCCATAACATGAGGCCGCTCTTTTTAACAAATGGATCGAGCATCTGGGAAATATAGTTTTGGACAATAAAAGTCACGAACAAATTTGGTGTGTGCCTTACATTTTTCGGAAAGTGATAAAGTGTCTGGAACCAAGAAAGGTCTGAAACGCTTATTCTACATTACATCTTCCTGAACTTCAATCTTCAAGTCAGTAATAACTTTTATTACATATGTATATAAACCAGGTCCATGGATTGTGTAATCAGTAAATAGTCAGGATTAAATGATTCGAGCATTTTGGTGTCCTAAAAACTTTCACAGAGTAATTCTCTAGATAACTACACCAGCCGTTTTTGGGTGTAGATGAAAAAAATGGGCCTGGAAATGAGCGCAAACATAATAGTTCTGAAGTATTAGTAGATTTCATTACTTAATAGGTTTTCGTGTTGATGGATATTCTTAATGATTAAATTTGTAGGTATGACTTCACACAGCCCAACATAATGACTAATACACTAGCGGCGCACTTACGCGCGCCGCGACTCATACGGGATCAAATTCTAGATTAATAGGAGAGCTGCTACGCGTAGAAATGCGTATTTTCCTTAATTTTCACATATTTCTTTAATTTGGCAACATCGCGATGCTTATATATGATCCCTTCCATTCTGCAAATGTCCTGATTAAGAAAAGCCAGATAATATCAACAATATTCTGCAACTAACCCATTTGCGGGCATTTTTAATATCTCACATCCATCATTTACAACCTAAACCTAGTGTCTATTCGGACGGAGAAGCAAACAAGGCTGGTGTAGTTAAGCTAGAGAATTACCCTTTTACAGTATTTACGGTTTGCACAATTTTTTAAAAAATTTACCTATCATAAACATAATGAAATTCAATTCTTTTTTTAGGTATGGTTACGGAAAATCTTCAGAGTAGTCCCGAAACTCATGAAGGGAGTAGAGAAGTTGCTAATTGTAAATCAACAGGGTCATCCCTAATACCGATTATTTTCAGATTACTAACAACTTGCATAACTATTATTTTTATGTATTGTATTACAAAAATACACATTTTAAAAATAAAATCAGGTTGAGCCTCATTTTACTTAAAATATCTTGAATATGAGTATAATTTGAATATTTAATTCAAATTTAGCTCCACAGTGTAAGAGGGAAGTCCAATGATGGCGCTAGGTATTCTACATTTTCAAAGGATTCTATAACAATTCGTATAGGGTCTATAAAAAGTTCGGAGTAAATCCCAGGGATGGCGCTACAGACTTAGTGACAAACCTTATCATTACAGATTTCCTTATAAAGTAGGTGTTATTTGTTTATAATAAGCAATTTGCCGATTTTTATTCCGAAAATCGTGTTCCGGGAGCTACAAAAGGTAAAAACGAAAATTGAAGAAGTAAACTGGCGAGCTCGAGAATCCTCTCGCCTAATCAAGCTATTTTGATTTTTCTGGTTCAGACATGTGACAAAACTACTTCTCGACGCAGTACCTCTGGCAGGGTTATTAAATATAAAACCTGTATAATGTCACAAAAAATCGGTAGAATGTCACCTTGTGCACTCGTTTGTCAATAGTTTCTTCCTCGCCCAGAACAAGTGAGCATGAAGTGAATGTCAGCTAGTTCAAACATGATATTTAAGGAAAGGAAAACCTACACAATTACATAAAGAACCGATATGTCACTTTTCAAGTGCCAAGATTTGCTGCAAAGGGATCATTATCAGATGTCATATTTTTGTATCGTACTTAATCGAATAAATCCATACTTGTATTGACAATTTTTTTTAAATATACCCTTTTTCACGGATCTAACTTTACCCCTCGTTGAGCTGTCAAGAGCCTGTAGCTCCGTAAGGCAGCTGTGTAGAACATTTTGTTTGTAGGAACGTTTGGCACTATTTGTTGCGTCATGCAATGGTGCAAGAATACGACGTCTATATCGGTTGGAAGAGATGTGCAGTTACCGATCACCTTCAAATTGTGAAATGCTATAAGTGCTCAGTATTTGGTCATACTGATAAGCAGTGCAGATCTGCATCTGCTAGGTGCCCTTCTTGTTCCGGAAATCATTGCTTAAAAGAATGTAAGTCTACAAATAAATCATGTAGTAGCTGTATTAATTATAATCATTGGAAGAAGGAAAACATTGCAGTGGACCATTCAGCAAGGGATTTGACTTGCCCTAGGTACTTAAGGTACATCTCTAAATTAAAAAGTAGGATCGATTATGGTTAAGGTAAGCTCAGTGAAATTTGGACATGTCAATATTCGTTCCCTTGTACCTTCATTCACTCACTTGTCGGTCCTCATCAAAGAAAAACAATTTGATGTATTTGCCCTTACTGAAACATGGCTCACTGAGATGGTTCCTTCAGATACTTTGTCTATTGATGGTTATACATTTCATAGGAAGGATAGAGACAGTAGGGGTGGCGGAATAGGTGTGTATATAAATGATGATATAAAGTGTGAACATATTTCTATAACTGATTATATTGGAGATGATCCATCAGTAATTGAACAATTTTGGTTGAAACTTCAATTCAAGTCGTCCTCAGTTGCCTTAGGATTGTTGTACAGACCTCCTAAGGCTAATCTCAATTCTGCAGTTGAAACTCTGGATACACTTTTATCGCATTTGTCTACTGTTTACGACCATATTATCATATTAGGTGATGTAAATGTCAATTTGCTAAATCTAAGTAACAAAATATCTGTTTGCTTCGACTCATATTCTTTTAAACAATTGATTGACGAGCCTACAAGAATTTGTTCTTCTTCTATTACATTACTAGATCCTATTTTTGTAAATTTTCCTGAACAGTGTCATAATATTGGTACACTAAATGTAGATGTTTTCACCGATCATAGGTTGGTTTACTGTAAAGCATCTTTTGATAAACATCAGACCCCAAAAAAAACTGTCACTTACCGTGATTTCAAAAATTTTGATCACGACAACTTGATGGCCGACTTACTGAGTATAAACTGGAATGATATTATTTGTATTCGAGACATTGATGACACAGTGTAATTTCTAAATGATCTTATAATTTCTTTGTTAGATATACATGCACCGTTGCGTACAGCGAGGGTATGCAAGCCCTTTGCTCACTGGTTAACGCAAAACTTAAGAGCTATTTTCAAGCAGAGGGATGCAGCTTTAATAAAATACAAACACAATAGGACAAATCAGAACTGGACAGAATACACAGAACTGAGAAATTATGCTCTTGCATCAAAGCGTAGAGAAAAGGCTGGTTATCTTCAGCACATACAAGAAACTAATAATTCATCCTCTTTATATAAGGGTATAAGGAATTTGAACATGCAGGCTAAGAAGCGTAACCACATACCTGTTAGTTTACGTAACGCAACGCAGATAAGTGATTATTTTTTATCTGTTTTTGAAGATAATACTCAGCTCTGTACTAGTGAAAGGGAATTTTATGATAATAACATACTTGATGAATCGCTCAAATTTGATCTAGTCATGACCACTGAGGAAGATATACGTTCGCATTTATTTAAAATAATATCTAATGCCTGTGGGCATGATGGTATTACGCCTAATATGATAAAACTGTGTCTTCCTGTGATTGGCAAATATTTAACGCATTTGATTGATTCTTGTTTGGAACTTCACTATTTTCCCTCTGCATGGAAGCAAGCAGTAATTGTTCCCTTGGCAAAAACTAATAACCCTTCAGCTTATTCCGACCTGCGCCCAATAAGTTTACTTCCGATTCTATCAAAAATATTGGAAATGATAGTACATGATCAACTGAAAGGGTACTGCTCTGAGAATAACATAATTCCAAAAAACCAGTCTGGCTTCAAAGTAGGGAATAGCACCACCACTGCCCTGCTTAAGGTGACATGATATTGTTGAGGCTTTGGATCGGGGTCAAGTAGCGGCTCTTGTACTGCTTGACTTCTCCAAGGCTTTTGACACTATCAGTCATTCACTTTAGATCTCAAAGTGCAAATATATTCTATTTTCTCAAGCATCTATCAAGTTCATTACTAGTTATCTCATGAATCGTATGCAAAGGGTACATTTGGACAACTCATATTCGACATATAAGAATGTTATATCAGGGGTCCCTCAAGGCTCTGTTTTAGGACCGCTATTGTTCTCCATTTACATATCAGACATGTGTAAACTGATACACTCCTCTGAAGTGATGATTTTTGCCGATGATACACAAATATGTAAAACTTTTAATCCAGATGACTGTGTAGCAGCTGCTAACGAGTTGAGTTGTGACTTAGCCACTATTGTTAGTTTTTCCAAGCATAGCTCCTTAACGCTAAATGCCTCTAAATCTAAAGCTGTTCTCCTTGCACCAAAAAACAAAATCATTAATATCAGAAATAACACGACAGTACGCATTAATGACACTTCTTTAGTCTTACTTGACAAGGATTTACGTTTTCGTGAGCATATATCTAAATTAGTAAGAAACTGCGTCAAAAGACGCCCTCCGCTCCTGTGGTGGGAGGCGAACGGCGTCTTTCGACGCTCTTTGCCGGCTTCCAAAAAAAGTATTTCAGTTTCTGAGGTGGGTATCCTCATCCCAGTTCGCAGTCAATGTGTTAATAGGCATTTCATAAATTTCAAATTGAAAAAACATCTTTGTGAAAGCCTAGTTCTCTCAAAAATCAACTACTGCCTTATAGTTTTCTATCCTTACTTAGATCAAGTCTCAATTCGCAGACTTCAACTGATTCAAAATTCGTGCTGTCGCCTCATCTACGGTTTAAGAAAGTATGACCTTATTTCACACTGTATTCGTAGTTTAAAATGGTTAGATATTAATAGTTCTTACCAGTGTTTTATCTTGAAGTTCATTCATAATTTGATTATCACGGGAACTCCCGAATACCTCTTCAAAAAAATTATTTTCAGGCAATCTGTTAAAGATCGCATGCTCAGGTTTGGCAAATTATTAGATATTCCACGGCACCGTACGGCTTTATTTACTCGCTCTTTTAGGTATAATTGTGTCAAATTGTATAACGTGCTACCTGATGCATTCAAAAATTTATCTCAAATTAAATTTAAAGTTTGTGTCAAGCAGCATTTGCTATCAAGAATGACTCTTAGTAGTAATTAAGTAGTAGTTTGTAGTTTAGATTAGTAACCGCCAGAAAAAATTTTATTTGACGTGTTGCTGAATCTGTTTATATTTTCTATATTATGTCTTGCAATATTTTTGTTTTCTTTTGGTTAGCCACTGTATATATACATGTTAATTACATGTATTTACATTGGTTCACAACCATGAAAATAATAGGGTTAAGTGGAAGAGGAGCTATTTAGCTACACTTCGCCCGATACTATGTAACTTTATAAATAAAGACGATTTGTTATTATTATTATTATATATCTGAGGGAGATCTTGTATAAATATGGTAAACATACAGGCATGAGATTTTTATCCTTCAAGCAGCGATACAGATTTACGACCTGACGTCTCTCTTCCTAAAAGCTGCAGAGCTTTTTGCCGGCGATTTCGAAGCACCGTGGCCTCGTCTCCAGAAACATCGCTGTCGTTCTCCTCGGCGCCAATTGAAATGCAGGAGGTCTCCGTCGCCTCCAAACTACACTTTAAAACTTGGACGGTGCATGATTTAAATTTAGAGTAAACACTCCTTTTTTATTTAAATCCCTCTGAAGTATTCTGTTCGGCGACTGTTATGAGATGAATATTTCAGACAAACTTTAGAATGCTTAAGGCGGAGGGTGTACATATATAGGGTACCTAAGGATAGTAGAAAAGCTTTACTCAGAGGAAAAATTGTTAGAAAGTTGTACAGAGAGAGCAGAACCGCATCTGATAATGAAGCTCTAGTTCTATGAACGTCGAAGCGGAATAGACACGTGCACACATTCTCAAATAAATAAATTTTTCCAATAATAAAAGGTAACAACAAATATCAAGCATTTATTATTTCTGTTACAAAAAGGTGATAAACGGGTATTATAGTAATATACAAAGAGATTTCAGGCTCTGAAAATTGGAAAGCATTCATTTTGAAAGAGATATATCCAAATGTGTTAACCAGAAAAAAAAAATAACTCAAATAATCCAATCCCTATAAGTTTTTATCAAATACGACATTAAAGTTCACTCGAGTCAAACAAATTGTTCTTACCTGTACCCTTTAAATGACAAATTCCTCCAAAAAACATGAAACCTGTATCTATAAAATAGCATTTTGTAACACGCTTATACAGGGTGCGGCAGAGAGGATGGACGGTTTTAAAAAAATCATAAAACAGTTAATTTTTACTCGAAAACAAATTTATTGATGGAACTAGGTTCACAAGCAAATAGCATTTGAGACAGTCAAGTGTGGAAAATCGCATCAGGCATGTGGTGGCCTAAATCGTTGATGCAGTGTTGGAGGCATTCTTGGAAGTTCGGGTAGACTCTCTCCAACATCGTTCTCTCAACTTGGGCGACTTCCACGCGAATTTCGCCCTTCAATTCGTCCAGAGTTCGGGGCTTGTTCGCGTATACTCTAGCCTTGAGGTGTCTCCATAAGAAAAAATCGCATATGGATAAATCTGAGGACCGAGGAAGTCAATGAACATCGCCAAACCTGGAAATAAGGCGACCAGGGAAGAGAGGGCGAATAACGTCCATGGATGCTCGGGCTGTGTGGGCGGTCGCCTCAGCCTGCTGGAACCACACACGTCGGATTGGAACACGTCGCCGTCGTAATTCAGGGAGGAAGAAGTTGGTGATCATGTCGACGTAGCGCTCTGAGTTCACGGTAACATCACGACGATTACCGTCTTCGAAGAAGTAAGGGCCAATGATGCAAGTTTGCGATACAGCGCACCAATCCGTTACTTTTGGGCTGTGCAGCGGTCTTTCGTGTAACTGTTGCGGATTTTCATTAGCCCAATAACGACAATTCTGCTGGTTAACCATGCTGTTTAGTTAAGTGGGCTTCGTCACTCATAAACAAAATGAGGTTCTCATTTTGATCGATCAGTGCTTCCATCTCACGTGCGAAGTTCATTCGTTGTGCATAATCTCCGGACTGTAACTGTTGCACAATGGCCAATTTGTAGGGGTGAAAGCGGAGATCCATATGCAAAATTCGCCTTACCGAACGATCACTAAGGCGAAGTGCGGCAGCATGTTTCCGGGCAGATCGAGTCGGACTGCGAAGAAAGACCTGTCGAACGCGTTCAACATTTTCAGGAGTTCGAACTGTTCGCGGCGCTCCTCTTGGTCTTCTGTTGATCAGTTCACTACGCCTGCGAAGTGATTCAACCCAACGAAAGATGGTGTTTCGAGAGGGAACAGCTCTATTCCGATGAATGTTGAAGTGGCGACGAAACTCACAAGTATACATATTAGTGTCACAGATGTTAACGTACATTATGTCTCCCTAACATTTTTTTATACCGCATCAGCCATGAAAGCAACTCCTAAATACCAAGGTACTACGATTACAATAAAAACGCAAAAGTTATGTTATTGATACGGTTTTTAATTTGAGAGCTTGGGAAGCGGCCTTTCAGGTTCCTGATACCGCAAGAACGAAGGTATGGTCGTACCGGTCAGTTATTGGTCGAGTTAAATGACAACAAGCCATTTTCACAGATATAAGACACGTCGTCCTCGTGGCAAAGATCTCAGAGGAGCAAAGTTCATTAGCATATTAGTATAGGAAGTCCAGATCACACACCGTCGATATGAGATGTGTTTGGGTCTATCAAACAAACGCTGTCGATCAGTTAGATAGACCTTCTCGAAACAGAATCATGTGCGTTGGATCAGTAGTAGCTTCTCAGACATGGTAAAGAATACTCTAGGCCGAGTCCCATTTGGTCTTTGTTTAGAGTAGGGAGGCTCTATGTACAAGGTGGATCATCTAGTACTTGGAATTTGTATTATCGGTTGACACCAAAAGTTAAGAGCTCATTTTTTACTTATCAGAAAATTATTTTGATAATTGATATGATTAGCTTAATTGTAGTACCATGTTTTAGAAACATTAAACTGCACGAACCGTCTTGTGAATACATCTAAAATTTTCTTGGGATCTTCATATGATTAAATATTTCATCACAATGTTAGCTTCGATTCAAAATGACCAAAAGGTAATAAAACCGCGCCCACTTTTAGTAGACTGCTCCCCCATTCTCAAGAATTGGCTCCCTAGTAGTGGTAACCCCTAACTGAAAGACGAACCTTGCAATTATTATCGATGTCGCCTATATAACTTCGATATAGAATTGGGCATCAAAAAGATCAGAGCGAATCATACGCCCAAGCTACTTCATAATGAACTCGAAGTGTCGGAAAGTAGTTAGAATCAGTCCCAAGGTCTTCTGTCAGTCATCCCGCATTCTAACTTA